GCATGAGCTAATGATGACAGTGCTGAAGAACGCAATTAACTCAACCCTACACCTGAGGGGTCCAATTGTGGGATGAATGGAGGCATAAGAGGTTGGGAAACATAAGGTGATAGGTGGGACATTATGAGGACTTCAACTAAAAAAATGACAACAGAAATGGAAAAGAGCAATCAGACTTTAACATGAAACAAAATAAAACTGATACCACTCAATGACAGATTGGATGCTTAAAGTGAGCGAGAAAAACTTAAAACCAATCAAGAAAGACTAAGGTTTCCAGATTTAGAACTCAGAGATGGTGATATCATCAACCTACATCAAAAATATAGGAAACAACAAATCACCATGTATATAGTTGTTGCTCATTATTCACAGATTCTTTGTCAATTCACCTATTCAATAAAATTTATTTGTAACTCCAAAACCAGTATTACAGCACTTTTGCAAACAACTGATCTATACAATTTTCTAATTTGCACCAAAGAAATCCTGGACAAAATTTCATGACAAAATATAGAGAGCTAAAAACTGCAAATGAATTCACAGACAGACAAGACAGTATACTATGATGAAGATGATAAAATAAAAACAAGGTATGTGTTTTTCTTGTGTCATTGTGGAACATGAGATAATAACTGCATAGCAAAGCTTCGCATAAAATTGTCCAGACATAATGTGATGTCTGGAATTTTCTTGAATTAATCTGAGAGGTGGAGAAGAGTGGTTGTGGATAGGGGTATAGGTGAAACAAGAGTGGCCAAGAGTTATAATTGTTGAAACTGAGTGATTTAGCGTATGGGGCTTCATGATTCTCTCTGCATTTACACTTATATGCGTGAAGTTTACAAGTGTAAAATAAAAAAATTGACCATTTATGAAGTAACTGCAGACCACAAGTTTGGTAAAGATAGGGACCTCTCTTATTTCTAGGTCCTACCATAGTTCCCAGCAAATATTAGGTACCTAAATATTGATTGGAATGAATGAGCCATTAAAAATGTACACTTAAATCTAATTTGCTAAAGTTGTCTGATTTGAGAAGCTGAATGTTTCAGCAGCACTGTATTCGTTTTACGTTGCTGTCATTAAATCATCACAAACTTTAGCATCTTTAAATAGCACAAATTTATTTTCGCACAGTTCTGGAGGTCAGAAAGTACAGCACAGGTCTCATACTGTGGCTAAAATGAAGATGTCAGCAAGCTGCCTTCCATTCTGGAGGCTCTAAGGAAGAATCCATTCCTACTCATTGGGGTTGCTGGTAAGACTCAGTTCCTTGTGGATGTAGGACTCATGTCCCCACTTTCTTGCTGCGTAAACTGAAGGCATTTCCAAGCTTCTAGAGGTTGCAAGATTCCCTGGCTCCTCCATCTACGGTGCTAGCACCAGCTTCGAATGACTCCTCATGTTGCATCTCTCTGGCCCATTCTTCTGTTTTCCTCATCTCCCTTAAAGGACTTGTGTGATTAGACTGGAACAATAAAGGAAAGTTTCTCCCCATCAAAAGGTCTTTAATTTTAATCACAGCTACAAAATTGC